TTATAAATGGGAGAAAGCAAAGCAAGTACATATACATGCATATATGCAATAATCATGCATTACATACACCACACAGTTTCTTCTCACATTCAGGTTTTGGCAACGGTGATTAAGGGTCTACTCATGGATGCAATTTAATGGTTGATAATTCCCCTACCAATAGATCAAGGAAGGAGGGAAATAAGCACTGTCACCACAATACCTCCTCAACCTACTATCACAATGATAGTAATAACATTTCATCCATGAAGGCAAATGTTGAGTGGTCGACTTCATCCAACATTAAGAAGATAAATAACATAAACATATTTTAAAGATCGTATATCATTGGCATTAAAATAAGATACTAGAATCCATTCATATTTCCCCAAGAACGAATGCAAATACTCAAACATTTGGATGGAGACCATAGAGGGGGGAGACAAGTTAAAACCTAACATGGTGTTGAGGAAGAAGAGAGGCATGACGATGGCGATGGAGATGGCAGGTGCTAGGCGTCGGTGGAGCCTCCTCCTTCCTTCTTCATTGCCTTGGCCCTTCCTCTATAGTGGAGATAACTCTTCTACAACAATGGAGGTGTGGTGGCACGTGATGGAGTTGTTGACGATTGATGCCGGTGACTAGGGTTGAGGTGAATATATAGTAGGCCTTCATAGGTCTCCTTTGTAGATATGACTTCATCCCTTTCATCCAAGGGCTCTAAGTGAGCCAAATCCTCTCCCAATAGCTCCCTAGGGTCGCGTAGGAACAAATCATGATGAAATCGATGGAATATCACGGAAGTTATGTCTCACTTCGTAGCCTCCGAGGGTTGATACGAGCGCTGTATGACCAGCTAGACGCGCATGCAGTTTCACGTTTTGGTTGTCATTTCTTCCTGCAAACTTTGATTTAGGCGCTTTTGTGCTAGTTGAATTCATCTTGAAATTCTAGTATTGGATATTCAATTTGGACAAAATGTTGAAATATCAAATTCTCCATAGGAAAAGCCTACATTGATCTTTCTCCGCCCGCACCTCCCATGGAGAAATTGGATCTTTTGCCCCACTTTTCTTCTAACTTTGCAAATCATCAATCCCCAATGTAAAGTGGGGCAAAAGATCCAACCCCCTCCCGTGATGCCCTGATCAGATCCCTTTGTGGCAGCAGAGCCGACGGCAACAGGCGGGGCAGGGTAGCTTGCCTACTCGCCAGCACCGGGATCCTGCTCTCCCCAACTCCCTATCCCGGCCACTGGGTTTCAAGTATGCGGTCGTTCTCGCCCGTCGATAGTTAAAAATCCCGCTCGCCTTCACAAGAGATAATTGCATCTATAGTCCTCGTACTCGCTGGCGACGTCCAATTCAGTCCTGAAACTTGCGTATTGATTCAATACGGTCCCGGTACATGAAAATACGTGATCAATACGGTCCCTAAGGTTGAAACGTCGGTCCTGGCTCTACACGTCACATACGTATCTCGTATTTCCGTAGTGAAGGCCACATCCATATGCGGTCCATATGTGAGTGGGCCGAGAAATAAAATGAAAAAAAAGACACAGCTCGGATTTTAACCGACAAGCAATGCCCAACCACTTCCCGAGCCGACCACTAGAACAAGTGTGTAATCCTGTTTAATCCGGGGATGCACGGAATGTTATACGCATATCACTGTTTCTTAAAAAAAATATACGTGAATTTTAAAATATTCATGAGTTTAAAAAATGTTCATCGATTCACAAAATGTTCATGAGTAAAAAGGAAAATGTTGTGTCTACAACAAATGTCCGTAAAGTTTTTAAAATATTCAAAAAAATGCTTGGGAATTTTTTAAAAAGATAATGCTCAAATTTAAAAAAAATGTTCACTGATTCAAAAATATATTGATGAATAAAAAATGTTCATCACAAAAAAAAGTTTCTGAATTTCAAAAGATTTTCACAAATTTCACGAAATTTTTGCCTATGCACAAAAAAAGTTGTTGACGAGTTCCAAAAAACATGTACGCAGTTTCAGAAAATATTCGTGAATTCAAAAAATATTCACTAACATGTAAAAAGTTTATGAATTTAGAAAATGTTCGCAAATTCAAAAATATGGTGAACATTTTGGGAGTGCATCTCCTCACATATTTATATGGAGTGCAACTTACAAAATTCCAAAAAAAATCGCAACTTAGAAAATGTTCACAACTTGTAAAAAATACTAAATATATAGGGCATGCTTCTCCTCACACACACACACACACACACTTGGTATTCAAGAATTGATTTGTTTTATGTTCATTGATTCAAACAATGCTCATGATTTAAAAGTAAAAGTTTGTGTATACAAAAATTGTCCTTCAATTTATGAAAATATCCAAGAAAATGCTTGGTATTTAGAAAAATATATTTCCTAAATTTTGAAAAAATATTGTTCACTGATTCAAAAAAATATTGATGAATTCAAAAAATATTCATCACAAACAAAATGTTTCTGCATTTCAAAAGTTATTCACGAATTAAACAAAAATGTTTGCGTATGCAAAACAAAACTTGTTTACGAGTTCCAAAAAACATGTACGCCATTTCAAAAAGTATCACGAATTTGTAAAAAGTTCATTAATTAGGAAAAAAATTGCAACTTCAAAAATATGGTGAACATTTTTTCAATTTGATGACCAAAAATCATGAACTA